GCGAAAAGTCATCATCACCATAACTGTCGCTCTGCGGAACTTACGAGCAGCCCGAACTATGCTCCCCGCCTCTCGCCGCAACACACAGACCTTTGGCAAGGAAGAAATTGATCGACATTTCGAGGCTCATTTTTTCAAGGCGCAAAAGGTGTAGCACAAATCTCCGTGCACGTAAGTCAAATTCACACAGAGGTTCTTATGCATGACGAGAAAATATTTCTGTCTGTCCCGCCGTTCCAGGCAGTATTCGCAAAGCAAAAATATAGGTTCGCAATAAACCTTGCTTGATTTTGCCTGATTTTGAGGTATCATCCAACGAAACAGTTTGACGATGAGAACAATGAAAATGCAAGCTTCATGTCGCAGGCTCAAACGTGACAGCGTGTTTTGATGCAATTCTGTTTCCGTTTCTGGTTTGGTTATAAACGCCGCATGCGGAAATCCTAGAGAACTGGCCGTTTTTTTTTTTTTTTTTTTTTTTTTGTGTTAAGCAGCAGAGCTTTCGGACAGACCGGAGCAGAGCGCGCGATAAATCTTGGACGCCATGGACAGGCGCTTCTAGTCCACTTATCTGTAACAGCGTGGCTTATTCACCTTTAACCTGCGCGCCATGAGCAAATTCTAGCAAAACTGGAGTGTGTACCGCGTGAAAAAATCAGCAATGTCAAAGGTAAGAAAAGAACGAGATAAAAGGTGTTCCGCGGATGCAACATGCTGATAACATTATCATCTCCCTTACCATTCTATCGTGCGATCAAACAATGATCGTCGGAACTGCTGAATAATTCCTAATAAGTCACCGCACGCATTTCTATAGTTCTTGCGGCTGACTCAGGGTGTGGTGTAGTTAGAAACCTTTAGAGATAACTGCGTTGGGAGTAGGCATAGGGCACAGAACGTAGGCTTTTACTAGCGGTTGATTCCGCAAAGCAATTATCTAACGATGAATCGTTAGCTCACGTATTTCAGCCGCATAATTTTTAGGTGTTGATTTATATTCGTTGTCCAACCCGGTACAATGTCGTGAACAATCAAAACATCGGGCAAATTTAGAACTGAAAGGGAACGTTTATTAAGGCGAACTTGCGCTTACGAACTTGAAGAGAAAAATGCCAGGCAACTTCCGTACGCCACGAAAGACTAACGGACCCGAAGCGGAGCATTATCGCTACTTCCATACACGTGTCACGTTCTGGAATCTTTCGACCAAGAACACTCAATGAAGGCTCAGAGTGGATTGAGATATCTTAAAAGAGAAAAGAATGAAAAAAATGAGGATCCGGGCTGAGCGGGATTTGAAGCTCATTCCTCAGCGTTACAGCCGCATTCGTTGCAAACTCCGCCACGAACACCGAGACTGTAGTTTCTTTCCCCTTTAAGTCGAGGCGCCGCCGACGCTACGAGCCGGTGGGACCAATCAGAGATAGTCAGAAGCGCACCATCATGGTGTTTTATCATTGCTGAACTAATCATAAATAGGGTGACTTGCGCTTTTGACGCTGCTTCATCGGTCCCATTAGCTCGTATGAAGTCGGGGCTTCGTCTCAACTCAAAGGCTCTGTTCTACTCAAAGTGGAAAGTACCATATGCTGATTGGTTGCAGAGATCGAGTTAATGCTCGCCGGCCAATAAAAGGTGCGACTTCTGCGCTACGCTGCGTTCGCGGCGGTCAACGTCGGAGTGAAACAGAGTATGCTGAACCGAAGTTTGGATTTCGCAAAATAAGGCCATAGAATCGTTGAACGGGACGCTACGAACCCCAAGACATCACTCATACATGGATATCTCAAACGGATCGACGTCCATTTGGAAAAGAAAGCCACGATCAAGCGAGGGCCATGACGTCACTGTCCTCCTGGAAAGTTTGAGAATGAGGAGAAGCGGCCTCGCTTCTCTCCTCCTTGCTTCGGCTCACCAACTCGACTGGACGAAGCGAGGAGGAGAGAGAATGAGATTCGCTACGTGACTTGTCTTGTCGGTCTCGTCGGCCGTGTTCAATCGCGCACTTCTTTTCCAAAAATACGGCTATCCGTTAGAGATATCGTTGCTTTTCTTACATTTTTGAACCTCGAATGTAGCGCGTTCGCACTCTAAAAATATGCGGTACATATCATCTTATACAGTAGGAACTGCTCTTCCTACGGATCTAAATGCTCTAATCTTCGAAACTAACTCAGTGAGCACCTGTCGATATGAACGTTTTCGCCAAAACATGGTTTCGTAGTGCACTGGGGCAGGGTCTACTATAGGAGCAATATGTTCGAAAGTTTACATTATTTCCGAAGAAGAGTTCTTTTTTTAACGGATGAGGTCTTTTTTTTTATTTTTATTTTTAAAAAATATTTGCCCTCCACGAGCAGACTTCGCGGAAGCACATTGACTCGCAATTCGTTAGACATCCATTCCGCCATTTTATTTTAAAGCTCTTACCGCTCTTCGCACTTTGGATTTGCGCTACATTTTATCAAAATCTGACTTCTACCTTTTTTCAGAACACTTCCGCGAAAACGTCCAAAAACTGGAAACTTCAGGAAACATCGTTTCGTAGTACATTTGGATCACTGTAGAGGTTGGACGCAGCTGATCGACATATTACGCGCGCAAATAAAGATATAATCTCTTTCAGCTGACGTGGCCATTTTTTTTTTCAAATTTTAACTTTAGTTGTTTGTAAAAAAGTTTTAATACTGGTTAAGTTTTGAATTTGTAGTCATAAAGAAAAGTTAATGTTGACCTTTTTCGAAGATTTCTGGGAGATCTTATCGTGAGATAAAGTTTACTATCCCAGGTTCCAATTATTACTTCGCACATTCGATGATTGTACCTAATTAATAAAATAATAAAGAAATACGGTTTTGTTCGTTTAGTGGCGCCATCTATTATTTGTAGTAAAAACGTGTGGACCACGAAGTTCAGGAAACTACCAAGGGTGGCACTGATCAGTGCAGCGGTGGTCAGCTTCGAGAACCGGTGTAATAATTTATGACTCGTTTAAAAAAACCTCGCCCGAATACCAATGGTCGTATAGACTTTTTTTTATAATTTTCTTATATCGCACATAATTTCATATTTTCATATATCATATCTTGTGGAAACGTTTTACGAAGTTTATTTATATTGTCACGTTATTTTATTTTTTTTTTATTCTACATTTGTACTCTAATGAGTAAAAGTCGTTGATGCGATAGACATAAAAACTTAAGTTCTGCTATGGTCCGTAGAAAGACTGGCAAGTCTTCCGTCCGCCGCCACCGTCCGTTAGACGGCCGCGGGATGAAAGCGCGTGGCGGCGCTGCGAGCAATCGGCGAGCCAAAATTTGGTAGTTACTAAGCCAAAAAAAAAAAATCTAGAGAAAATACCATAGACGCAAGCAAATGAGCACTTCGCAGATGATGTATTTACAGCTCCTGGTCTTGAGAAACCTTAGCCGTTCTCGCCTTGCTGCCCTCTCGTCGTTCAATGTTTTGGTGTAAAGACGGAAAAGAAGAAGAATGAAGAAGTTGAGTATGCTTACCATGATTATTTTAACCAAAAAAAAAGTTCATTGTAGTCGCGGAAAAAAACTGAAAAACGAGCAGTGTTCACCCTCTCCACTTGCGATCAGAGCTGGCGGCCCCGTGATCTGATTCTGACGATAGATAATAGACCGACCTCACCAAGCGTTCAGCGCATGCGTGACGCCGCCATAACTTTAGTTCACAGGAGACGGGCTGCAGTGCACGAGGGGGCTCGTGCCGTCTGGTGCTCCTCACGTGGAGAGCTCCAGCGAGGTTGTCGCACGTGCAGAAAGACTAAAGTTCCCTCGATGCATTGCGGCAGCGGTGGCGTAGTCAAACTGACTGGTGAGATTGGTCTAAAAAAAAATTGGGTTGTGTGCATGTTTATACAGACTAGAACTTGGTCTGCCTCAACGGGCGGCGAGTCTGCCAGCTGTAGAGGAGAAATTTAGCCAGTGCAGGTACAACCGCTAGCCTGGGGCCTTTAACGTGCATCACGCAGTAGTGATACACCACCGCACGCCGGTACGATGCTCATCCAGACCGATCGTGAGATCGGTCTATTGCAAGCATGTCCAGCGTGCGCGTGAACGTAGCTTGGAGAACCTTGTAAAGGCACACACTTGCCCGCACAAGCAGAGACATGGTGGCGGGCTCTGATTGCAAGCGTCAATATGCCGCCAATGGCTATTTTCGCATGAATGCCCTCATAGCGCACCGAATCAAGCAGGGGCCAATCACACGCAACCTGTGTTCCTACCTTTTCCTCTTCTACCCATCTGCTACCGATCGAAATAGTCAAATCTCAATTTGACCCGCTACGCTCGCCTCCACTAAAACGCCGGTTTTCGTAGGCCGTGTTTCCGTCAAGCCATCCGTAACGAAGAATCTACTGAGCCTGCGCGCCGATGGCCTTGAGTGTAGAGTTCCCGGTACCATAACGGGTTGCGGAGAGACGAAAACTCCCTATCGAATTGGTGTTGAGTCACGTAGCAGGGAACAGAATTGCTGTTGAGGTCACGTGATGTAAACTTTCCCACTAAATCTAGCGGAGAAACACAGTGTGTCAGCTAAATCTTGTGGAGAAACTAAATTTCTCTGATAAATTTAGCGGGGAATTGAATTGGCGTTGAAGTCACGTGGCGTCGATTTTCCCGCTAAATATAGCGCAGTTACGCCGACGGCGACGCCGACGCCGCTCAACTCGGAAATGTGCGCCTAAGAGCTGCGCCCTAAAAGTTCGCAACCTCGAACCCAGTTGAACCCCGAGATACTTGGAGCCCAAGGTCACGTGACAGCTCTTGACTCTGACAGAACAGAGAGCCCGTAATATTCGTTGTGGCTCATTCTGCTGTCATATGGGAAAACGGTATTGTGTACCGCGTTCTTGAGAAACAGACTGAGAAAAAGAAAAGAAAAAGAGAGCTCTTGCTGGCTTTAGCTTTAGGTGTAAGCCATTTGGTACTTCAAGAGGCCTTGAGACTCGAGACGTTGAGACTTACCTGTACGAGACCGGCCGTGCAGAAGAGTACGATGAAACCGACGTTGGTAGTCGGGGTGCCACTTTTGGCCAGCGATACGAGGTTCATGAACACCAGGTGGCCCGGCACCACCAGCGCAGCCAGAATGAATCCCCTGCGACTGCTGGCGCCGAGAACTGCGAAGCAAACATACGATGATAATTAACGAGATAGATTCATATTAAGGGGCATACGCATAAACGCAAACGTAATTTGTACAGCCTGAAGGCGTAAACAACGCGACGGTGTAAAGGAAGTATGCACAGAGTCACGTAAGTAATAACCGGTTGTGTTAATACAATTCGGGTTTTCTACCTCAGCCGAGTTGTAACTTTGTATGTTATCCTTTTTTTAGAGCGCAGCTCTTAGGCGCCCGTTTCCCTGTTTCGCGGCGTCGGCGTCGGGGTCCACGTTTGCTTCGGCGTCGGCGTAACCGTGCTAGATTAAGCCGGAAAGTAGGTGTTGAGGTCACGTGACGTCAATTTTCCGGGGAAACTGTGGGAGGGGGAGGGTATGGAGGAGGAGAGGGTACGGAGGACAAGGCGAAAAGAAGGAGGAGAAGGAGGGGAGGATGAGAGGGGGAGGAGGGGCATGCCCTCCCCTCCTCCTTCTTAAGAGCTCAGCTGTAATTTCGCGCTACAGAAATTTATAAACGTCTTTCTTTTTTCTTTTTTTTGTCCCTTATTTCTGGTTTGAGTAACGTGTAATAGTATCCGCCCTATATTTGTCCTCTTAGCAATTCGCAGCTGTAAAATGCCGGGTCATTCCTCAAGGTGGGCAAGAGGACTACTCACTGGTGCTGTCAGAGAGGCTGATGGACGCGCCTCCGTTGAGTGCAGCCCCCTGGACCGACTTGTCCCGGTAAGTCCTCTGCCGGTGCAGGAGAGTTGACATGCGGCTGGCATGCACAGCTGCCAGGTTGCCGCCAAGACCTGAAAGAAAAAAATCTTCTCTAGTGTGTCTCTTGAGACGGCGGAATGTGAGTCAGTCCAGTTCGCGTCTGGTGTCTCCGCTGCTGACATGTACCCAGTGCACTACGCCGCTAACTTGGAATCATTAGTGTGCACCGCGCAGTAGGAATTCACGACCCTAACCTGCTCATCCACACTCTAAAAAAAGGGTGTCACCTGACACCCATAGAATGCACCCCAATAGTTTAGTTCGACGTACAGCGTACAATAGTCCAACAGGCGGCTCCAAATTTTAAGGGGTGTGTGATAACAATGGTACATAACTTATTAAACAGCTAAAGTACGTATCAAAGGCCAGAGAAAGAAAATACTGAGGTTTTGCAGTAAAACCAAGAAAACACAGATTTTTTGTTTTTTTGGTAGTAAGTAACACGTACATTATCTATTTTAATAAGTTGTACCACTCGGCTATCAAGCCTCTCGTGAAAGTTAGTACCGTCAGATCGACGTCAGTGCGCTGTACGTCGAACTGAAAGTTTGGGGTGTATTATACGAGACAAAGCGTGTAAGAATTCACCTTTTTTTCAGAGCGTAGGGACTCTAAACTCGTCAAACACAAAGTTGGGGCAGAAGTTCACGAAGCGGACCAATGAGACTATCCCGAGATGAATTTGCGCTTTTTTTTTCGGCGGACTCCAATCGCCGCGCTTCGCGAAATTTCGCCTCCAACTTTCTGTTTGACGAGTTTAGGGCCCCTGATGGAGACCGGCAGGAGCGGGCCCTGGATTCTGCAGCGCGAGCTTCACCTTAACGCACTCGGTCATGAATGTGAGGCAATGGAATAAACGTGTTTTTTTACGCAACTGTTGCCAAAAACATAATACCCCTCGTGCGATACCACATTCAAACACAAAGCGAATAAGTAGAATTTAATGTTAAAACCGAAAAACACCTGAAAAACACTTGCCAGTAAAATTTTTGTGCCCCCCCCCCCCCCCCCCCCCCATTCAGATTTACTTTACATACTTTAATTTTCAAGGGTATAAAATCTCCACCATCGCAAACACGCTAAGAGAGTTAATAGGAATACCGCTTGACTGCTGGAACCAGAATAAAAAAAAAAGTGAAAGCCGTTTACAACTCCCTGTAACGCCGAATAAGAGCGCAGCTCTTGAGGAGGAGGAGGGAACAGTACTGAGGGTGGGGAGGTCACGTGACCTCGGGGGGGCGGGGGGGGGCGGGTGTCACGTGACCTCGGGGGGGGGGGGGCGTCACGTGACCCCCAGAGAAGTTTTTCCGCTAGATTTAGCGGCGAAATTTTTGCGCTAGACTTAGGAGTGAAATTTTCCGCTAGATTTAGCGGGGAATTTTTTCCGCTAGATTCAGCGGGGAAATTTTTCCGCTAGATTTAGCGGGGAACTTTTCCGCTAGATCTAGCAGGGAAATTTTTCCGCTATATTTAGCGGGAAAATTTTTTCGCTAAATTTAGCGGCGGAATTTTTCCGCTAGATTTAGCGGGAAAATTTTTCTAGATTTAGCGGGGAAATTTTTCCGCTAGATCTAGCGGGGAAATTTTTGCGCTAGATTTAGCGGGTAAATTTACCCATAATGCACCGCGAGGTTACGCCGACGCCGACGCCGAATAGGATTCTGACGAGCTTAGAAGCACTCTATGAATATTTTTTTCACAAGAAACAACCCTAGAAGCTACAAGCACCACGTGCAGATCTAAGATTCATATTAGTGGCCAATATATACGCAGTAATTTACGCACGACAGATGAATCACAGCCCTTCCTAACTGCTTAACTGTCTTATACAAGGGTTTTTTTTTTTTTTTTAAGCTTTGCATATTTGCTTTATAAAATCCCTTAACGCTCATTTGGTGTGAGCCGGTGAGTTGCACGGCCAGGGAAACATGATATAAAGGGCCACTCGTCACGATAAGTGGGACAGTTATCCTTTGCTAAGCGAAGTGGCGCGTTACCAATCGTGCGAGGGACGCAATTCTGGCGAAGCGAAAACGCGGGTGACAAGAGAGAGAGAAAGACAACACGGGCCCATTGTCGCACCACTAGCTTTGCGTCTAGCCCAAGATTAATAAGCGTTAAATTTTTTTTGCTCTAAATTTTGCTCGTTTCGATGACGTCCACCATGTTTCTTATACGATATCTTCATCTTAGATAATTAAAATGCGAGTCAATCGACCAATTTATCGTAACGATGAATCCCTTATATCGTGTTCTTCTAGCCGTAGAACTCCCTGCACAAATCGGATTAGCGCCCTTTTATTGGCTTTTTAGAAACAAATCTGTAAGGCCTGGAAAAACAACCTGTATACTCGACGGCTCAAAGGCACTCGTTCGCAGGTTACCGCTGCCACAATTAGGAGGTAATAGCGGGCTATGTTGCTTCCGTATTGTCAATATATTGTCACGAATAACAAGTGATGAGGCGATAATAACTGAAGAAACTAAACGTTTAATGGGGGCGAACTTGTGCCTGAAAATAAAAAGGAAACAAAAGATAACAGCAGAGCGTCGCGGGCGTCGAAGTCGGCGAAAGAGCAGAGTCGAACGCTGGGGAGAAACTGACCGCGGCTTGCCACGCGGAACCCTTTTTGTATACGCGTGGGCTTCTCGAACAATCGACCGTAGAAGGTTCGCCCATAGAACATTCTGACCTCGAACATGCAACAGAGTTCTCGAACTTCCGAGTACAGTAAATTGCAACAATACATAAAAGACGTGTCGCGACCAGGAATCGAACCCTGGCCTCCTGCGTAGAAGGCAAGCGCGATAGCCACGGGCGCACCGCCTACTTGGTCAGCTGCGCCCACGGCAATATCGTGTAAGTCACAATAGGTCCTAAGAATGCATCTTCTCGTAAAAATAATTGGTACAGGGAAAAAATGATTTGACACAGTCGCTAAAATGACCACTACTACAGTTTTATTTTTTTTTTTAATGGCGACCATCTATCAACGAGGGTCTTCGCCTCATTTCACTGGAGCACATTTTTTACACACCTTTCACACCCTTCAAAACAGAAAGGGTCTTTCATGCCACAAAAGTTACTTTCACAATTCAAATGGCAGTAGCACTCAAATAAGGGGTGCAAAAAGGGTGTAGCCATAGGGGGTAAGTCTTTGGAAAATGCCTCTTACACCCTGTAGGGTGTAACATTTCTTAGTGTCTATATTTTACAGGAATTAGGTCTCACCACGGGGTAAGATGCCTTGAGGAGGGACAACCTCAGTTTCCTTTTAAATCACGAGTGATTTGACAAAAAAAAAATATTTTCTTTATCGTCGTGATTACGAAAAATCAACATCGCCAAAGAACGGAAAAGAAGAAACGCCCCATGGAGCGTTTACTTTCAGCTGATTTATTGTGACGACCCACATGAAACCGTGAAAGCAGAAGACACAAATGCATCTGTCACAGCATACCTTTCCTGCTCTAAGGGTTATAGACGCTTTTTGCGTATCACTTAGTCGAGCCGCCACCAATCTGCGTGCGTTCCGAGCAGACATTACTGATCTCCGAATTTAGTCGCATCTACTATTCAAGCCTCTAGAAGGCATCGCCTACGGCCGCTAGCGTCTGATGAGCGACCGCAATGAGGCGCGGAGCTCGTTCTACAAAACATGCGCAGTGCTAGCTCGTAAAGACTGCAGTGGCGAAATTAAGGTCTAGAACCACGCTGTGTACCACGCTGTGTACCACGCTGTGTACCACGCTGCCCCACAAGCGGACATAAACTGTCAATGTTCAGCGATTTTCAATGCATTGATTCCCCATTGGAGATAAGACTTAAGAAGAGCGTCGGCAATGGTTACTTTGATACTTCGATGGCTGTACAACTAAAGTACTTTACTTTGAAAGTACGGCGGAAGGTAATCGTGAAAGGCATGCCTAATTTACGCACCTTAGGATGGACTTCGTCCGTTTGCTTGAGTTTTACAATTGCAAGAAATCGGTTGCACAAGAAGACGTCACATAAGGTTAGCGGGAGGAAGGGGCGGGGTGTACATTCGTTTATTTCAACACACAACAGTTTTAACGTTGGGTGAAGCCGTGCTAGAAATTCTGAAAATTCAAAAATCGCGATTTTCAAAACATTGGTAGAAACGTGTGACTCGTCCCCCTTAGCACAAACCCTTGATGATTGACCGGTTTTAGTCATATGATTCGTACAGATTAGAGTAATGTAATTGCTGCGTCACTTTATGCTACATGCTCCTGCTACATCATCTAAAAAATTTTCACATATCTTCCGCCTGAAGTTAAATCCACTTTATTAATAGAAAAATTGGCGGTCAGATGTACCACGTAACCGGATTATTACGGTAAGCTGAAGCATATATTAAATTATTCATCACTTAAAATATCATTATTTAGGCCTTGTTTTTTTCGACGATCACCATCTTTTTTTGATAAGTAAAATAATGCGCTAGTTAGGTTCAAATACAAAGTAACATAAATAAACGGAGGCATTTTAACGTATATAAAACAAAACCCACGAAAGTAAAGTGCCGATGGTGACCGGCACAGAATAAAACTCACTGTACTGAGGTGAAGCTTGAGGTCAGTTTTGATGTCAGGGTCACGCGATAGCAACATGGCGGCGCCCATGCAGAGTAGCTGTAAAGCGTCTTTAGCACTAGCAGACATGCGCCTTCATGACGTGAAGTCTAATATATAATGCCTAAAAATTGTAGATCCCCAACTACTGCCTCTTTGGTAAAATCGCATTCCTTTGTTTGGTGCTCTTTACATTTCTTTAACCACGTTCAACCAACTCACCCAACTTTCTACCCCTGTCTGGTCAACATTTGCTCAGGGCAACTTATCAATGTGCTTCGGGGTCAGGGCAAAAATAAGTCTATACAAAAGATTGTGCTCGCCTCGTTTAGGGCGATACTCGCAATTGTAACGCTGCACTGGTTGCGACATGATCACTTCAGAATTGCTAACAATGACAGTAAGCAGAGTAAATTCTTACCGTTCATGAGCGGCTGAAAAGCTGCCATGTTTGGAAACTTCTTAATGGCGACATCCAAGATGTTGCCGCTCAAACTGCAAAAAAAACAAAAAAATTTACAACAGACCGTGCTTCTCACGACACGAACACAAAACTTACTTTGGCTACATTAAAAACAACATGAGCAAAGAAAACAAAAAAAAAAATCCCTGAAATTTGAAACACCGTGTACCAACCAACATGACCTAGAGTTTCCTCGAATTTTGACGTCATCACACTACTATCAAAGGTGGGCGCAGTTTGGGCCGTAGTAGTTTGAATGTTTTACCAAGAAGGGAGAGGAAATGACTGCGATGATGTTGGTCAGTGTTATATAAGCGCACGTGCAGCACATTACACAATATCAAAATATAAAGTGAAAAACTACAAAACGATTTCTCAAGAAAGATATTGACACCATCTTCCTCTTCAATCTGATTGTGGAAGCCCAATCCAGACGGTGATCCAGGTAATCGCGAAGTGTGCGGCATGGACACGACATCCGCCTTAAAGAACGCTGACATTTCTGTATTTTCTTCTGCACCGCTTCCTGACGTGGATCAATCCTGACTCCAACGGTCGGATCCTCTGATCGCAGTGGTCTTAATGTACCAGTGTCTTCGAATGTACATAAAATATGTCCCGGTGCTTCTCAATTGGGAGGACGCCGATACGTATTATATGAACCGGCGCTAAGAATCAATCAACATTAATGGATTAATGGCAAAAAGTCAAATTTTTTTTTTAAATAAATGCAACAATGTGACATGTTGGGCTAGTTGGTTTGAGGTGAACATCTTGGGAAGAAACAGCGGCAAAAAAACTTGGACGAGAGTAAAGGAAATAAATTTTTTTTTTTATCAGGCACGAAATCTGTTACGTAGGTATAACTACGCACGACGCAATGCTTGGAAGACTCTGCAGACCAAATCGCTGAACTCTAACCACACAGGATGCTGAAATGAAGGGAAATATAAGGCATACCCACTGAAAAGAAAAAAGCTCCATTACTTTCTACTGGTCTATAAAGGTTCATACTGGTCACTGGTAACACCGCAATGGCGGCAGGCTGCCATAAAGTAGCCGTAGATCTAGTACACTCTACCGTGAGTGACATTTGGTGCTTGATTGAAGTTGTGCAACGAAGCAGATTCTTGAAAGGAGGAGGAGGACAACTTTATTCAAAAGCTCAGGTCCGAGCCGTCTTGAAACCCGGCGTGAACATTAGCCTCATCTTTGAGGGCCCGGAGAAAGTTCTACGAAAGCGCAGCACCGGGGGAAAGCAGCGCAGCTCGCATCGAAAGCAGACTCCGTATCGGCGTCTGCTTTCGATGCTTTTTTCGATGCGACTTTCGATGCGACTTTCGATGCGACTTTCGATGCGACTTTCGATGCGTGCTGTGCTGCTTTTCTCCGGTGCTGCGGTTTCGTGAAACTTTCACCGGGTCCTCAAAGATCCGGCTATTGATCACGCCGAGTTTTAAAAACATGTTTCATCAAACAATTTCAATCAAGCACGAAATATCACCCACCCTGTTTTGACGGCAGCCTGCCACCACACCTGCCGAAACGCTGTCTGCCATGAATGGACGATAGTGGCAGCAGGATCTGCACCTTGGCTTGAGGTAATATAATTCTACCAAAAAGATGGCCGCCAGTGGCCGCATTCGCGGAGCGGGCAAACGCGATCCAGCAATTGTCAGAGATCAGTGAGGTAAACGGATATTTCAAAATTTCACTTGGCATTCTCTCTGCGGGTGTCTCACATTTACCTTCAAATTCAAGAACGGACCATTCCTTTCCGAATTTTCTTAACTTAGGTAAGGAAATAAAATATCTTCAGTTTAGGTGAAATTATGATTTTTGTGAGATCGCCTAAATCTGGCGATAACTCACTCTGCAGGCTCGAACCTCCAAATTCAAGAGGATTTCTTTCCTTGGGTTAACGCCCTTCCTCTTTTAAGTGCACGCACTTATGAATTATAAATTAAACTTACCTGATATTGTCTTTTTTAATATAAGGTTTCCTTACTTTTTTCCTTACAAATCGAAAGAAGCGACGTATCCACCTTAGAGTCTTCCTTTCCTTTTCGCTTTCAAGAAGCCGACATTCTGGGTTAATGGCGATTTTCCCCCGTCGTTGATTATTAGAACAGTGTGCAGGAATAGGGGCAGTAGAGTTAGCGGAGTGCGCGCCTGGTCACTCAACTGCAGCGGCGAAAGAAGTGACCGCTTTGCTTGTGTCTAGCCTTCAAGGCGTCCGCTGGGGGTACGGTTGGGTGTGCATTTCGGTCTTTTGTCAAAGTTAGATTTCGAGGTGTCATTGCGTGAGCCAGTGAGAATTAAATCTGTGCATCGACGCTATTTCACATCAGCAGATTCTAAGAAAACTCTGACCAGAAGCAAAAATTGGAAAGGACTCTGATCTTGCATTTGTACTATGCACAACGAATTAACAGTGAGTAAGTTCAGGAATAATAAATATTTAACCTGCAGGCTGTTTGACACAACTACCGAACGTCCTTTTCCATTTTAGCACGTGTCTTTTTCAAAGAAATTGACAGGAAAAAAGTGAAAGCCGCTTACAACTCCCTGTAACACCGAATTAGAGCGCAGCTCTTGAGGAGGAGGAGGGAAGGGTACTGGGGGGGGGTGAAGTGACCTGGGGGGTCACGTGACCTTGGGGGGTCACGTGACGATGCCGATGATGTCATCAGTGACGTCACTGATGACGTCATCAGTGACGATGACGATGCGGACTCCGATGACGTCATCAGCGATGATGACGATGAAAATGTGGATGTCGGTGACGTCATCAGTGACGTCAGTGATGACGTCATCCGTGATGATGACGATGACGATGCGGATGCCGGTGACGTCATCAGGGACGTCACTGATGACGTCATCAGTGATGATGACGATGACGATGTGGATGCCGGTGAAGTCATCAGTGACGTCACTGATGACGTCATCAGTGATGATGACGATGACGATGCGGATGCCGGTGACGTCATCAGTGACGATGACGTCATCGGGGAGGTCACGTGACCTCGGCGGGGGTCACGTGACCTCGGCGGGGGTCACGTGACCCGGGGGTGGTCACGTGACCCGGGGGTGGTCACGTGACCTCTGGGGGTCGCGTGACCTCTGGGGGTCGCGTGACCTCTGGGGGTCGCGTGACCTCTGGGGGTCGCGTGACCTCTGGGGGTCGCGTGACCTTGGGGGGTCGCGTGACCTTGGGGGGTCGCGTGACCTTGGGGGGGTCGCGTGACCTTGGGGGGGTCGCGTGACCTTGGGGGGTCGCGTGACCTTGGGGGTCGCGTGACCCTGGGGGTCGCGTGACTTTGGGGGTCACGTGACTTTGGGATGACCTTGGGGGGCCGCGTGAACTTGGGGTGACCTTGGTTACGCCGACGCCGACGGCGACGCCGACGCCGCTCATGCCGGGAACGGGCCCCTAAGAGCTGCGCTCTAAAAACGAAACTGTCCTTCCAGCATGGAAGGTTCCATTGTTAACTGAAGACAAACCTGATGTAGAGTGTGGATGGGCGGTCGCAACCGTCGCCGCGTTGAGGGAGATGCCTCGGCGTAATAAGCATTGGAGGCTTGCCGAGGCCGAAGGAGTCTATTTTACACCCCCAACCACTCTCACAGCAATGGTAAAGTGTATGTGGAAAATGCAGTGTTTTCAACTGAATACCGGCGTTTTCTACGCGTAAGATGCACTTGCCAGTTAAGCTGGTGGCAAAGGTGTCAGGTTCAAGCAAACAAGATGCAGGAAAAGCATAGCATCTCGGTCACGTTCGCCATCCGGTGACCCCGTTCAAGGAACGCCCAATTCAGTGCCGCAGATGTTGTGGATATGGACATCGCGAAGCCAACTGCAAGCGCCCACCTATCTGCAGTCGCTGTGGAGAAGCCCACGACGGAAACGACACGTGTTCTGGTCAAGAAAAATGCGTGAACTGCAGTCAAGCTCACGCTGCCACGTCCTCTTCCTGCCCAAAATGACAGAGAGAAAGTGAGACCCGCAGCTATGCACGCAAACACGCAGTTGACTTTCGCGCCGCAAGGTCCGCCGTCTCACAACAGAGGGAAACAAAACAAACGGCTGAAATTGAACAACGACCTCTACACTCACAGAACACAATAAATGAGCAATCTAACAAGCAGAACCCAAGCGCCCATGGCTATGCTGCAGCTTTAAAGAAGAATCCACAGAAGCTCATGAAGGGGGCCCCTCCCTCAAATGACCACAAAACTCAAGTTTTAGAATCCATGGGAGAAAAGGAAAGGCCGTCGACGTCAGCGGCTGCCACTCCTGATCCAATGCGGAAGACTACTCCCCCCTCTGACGCTCCGCCAATCAAAGGAAATGCATGGGAGAGCTGGATTCCGCTTCTCAGGAAAGCAGTTCGCATGACCTACAGCCTATTATCTTCTGTCGACGCCCAATGGGCACGAAACATCATATCATTGCTTAATATGATTCTTCCGCTTATGGGAGAATTATAAACGCGGGATGCACCAAGAAGCCGCATAAACGCGTCCGCAATTGGAAATTACTGAACATATTATCAACATGGCCAGCGGTAATTCAGGAATAGCCATATGGCAGTGGAACTGCCGCGGCTTCGCCGGCAAGAAGGCAGTCCTGCAACAACACATTAGGCACGCAGCGCGCAAACCAGACGTGATTTTACTCCAAGAAACGCTCACGGACGCTCCCGCCCTAATGGGCTATAGGGAACACGTTTGCACGATAGAGGGAAGGGGATTATGCACGCTCGTCAGGAAGGGCCTTACGTTCGTCGACCACGAACTTGGCGGCGTTCAAGTAGAACATTCGTTTGTGGAACTCATACCGACCAAACGCAGGAAGCAGAGCATATTCGTTCTAAATGTGTACAGCAACCCGTCCAATCGCCGCCAGAGGTTCCGGGCGCTGCTCCAGAAGGCACTCAAGACCGCCGGGTCCCAGACGCTGATCGCGGGGGGCGACTTCAACGCGGCAGAGGCAGCATGGGGTTACGGTTATAACACGGCCAAGGGGAGG